TATGATGGCTCAATTTGTGTGATTTTCCAGTAATGGATTTTTCCCTAAAGTATGAAAACTGGTTTCTTGGAGAGAGCTCAATTAAGTCCCAACTACACCACTTCCAGCTTCCTGCTGGCTCTTGAAGTTATTTAATATAACAAAAATCAAATAAGTGTAATAACCTATTTGCTCCACTTTGAAGTTACATTAATTGAAGCTGAAAGAAACAATGACCTATTTTCAATCTTCTACATGTACAGATCCAGTTTTTGGACTTTTCTGCAATGAAACAACTCTTGAATGTGTGTGTGTGTGTGTGTGTGTGTGTGTGTGTGTGTGTGTGTGCACAGTAGGCACCTGTGTCAAACTCATTTTGAGGTCTTCTGATCTGTTCTTTTGGTCTTCTTGTTTTCTTTGTTTGGGCAAGTACAATGCTGGCTTTTTACTAGTACTGTAAGTTTTGAAGTATGTTGTCATAATAACTCCTGAATTACTCTTTATGCTCAAGATTTCTTTGGCTTAGTGTGGTCTGTTATGTATATATAATTTTGAATGATACAGATATTTTCAAAATATTCCTTTTCTCAATCTATGCCCAATAGAGATTTTTTTCCTTGTATGTCTTCTGATTTTCATAAAATTATAGTTTTCTTTGTAGATCTCTTTCACTTCCTTGGTTGCATTTATTCCTATGTATTTAAGATACATTTCTTAGGTACTATTTGGAATCTGATGGTTTCTCTGATGTCTTTCTCAGTCTGGCGATTGCTGGAGTATTGACTAATTTGCTGAATGGGTTTAACTTAAATTTGTGATTATTTGTCACTGTTCATTTTATTTCTTTCAAGTGACAATTGTAACCAAATAGGTGGCTTTTGAGAGATGTCACTGTAGAATTGAGTCTATTAAGCACCCATTTTCCAACAAGGAAGCTCAATACAATCTTCAATGAAAGTATCAGGGGTCTGAGCCCTTAGTCTGGGAACCTCACACAATTTTTACTAAGATTGTGATTTTACCTTCTCTCAAATCAAACATCAATTCACAATTTAATCTTCTCTTGTCCATTATTTCCCTCTTTGGAAGCTGCTGAGCTGTGGTTGTACCCAAAGCTAAAAGGAAAGCTTAGAGATTTAGCTGATTCCAATGTCCTTCCTATCTGAGGCCTCTCATCTTACTTTTACTATCAAATTTTATATAGATGTGTTCATTGTTTCTCTCCCTAGGTAAAGTCTTTTCATGAATTTGTGGTGAAGCTTGTTCATATCTGGGATTTCAGAGAATGCTATTGATTGAATCCAAGCTACTTTGCTTCCCACACTCATTTTCTTAGCCCTTCTGCTTTAAATCATGTGTGAGACAGGCTATTTTAGTAGAGGATTCCCACAATGAAGACCAAAAGGTAATGTTACTCCATCCCAAGCCCACTATGTCTCTTCCACTCTGTGAATTTGGAGGTTTGGGGTTTTGTTTTGCTTTTTTTTGTCTTTGTTCTACTTTGGTGTGTTCCTGGGCAATCAGGTCCTCCACACTGTTCTTGATATTTTTGGTTAATGTTAGTAATCTACCACTTTGAACCAAAGCGCTATTTCCAGCTTTTTAGGTTGTTAATTGTAGATAAGTTGTTCATTGACTTTCCTGTCCAGGCAGGCTTTGAACTGAATTGCTCAGATCTCAGATTGGTGATTACCAAGTATTACAGACATAAGTCACAACACCCAGCTTGCTCTGTATATTTTTGAGATAAATATTCACTTCATGGAAATGCAAAAATAAAATGGATACATTTCCATCACAGCTGTTATTAATAGCATGCACCACTGTTGTGACTAACATCCACATAGAACTGCCTAGAAATTCTCATTTCCTCAATCTCCACCTCTTACAGAGCTGACATCACAGATATCTGCCCCCTCACCCAGGCATGACATCCCAGAACCATTTTTTCTCATGCTGTATTCAGAGAAGAATCTTCTTAGTCTCAACTAGGGTTTTCAGTTTCCCACTGGTTTTCAATTGGTATTAATTTTTTACTCCAACAAAAATACACTGAAATTTTCAGTGGAATAAAATTGAATGTATAGTAGCTCTCAGTAAAATAGCCACTTTTGTAAATTAAATTCTGCTAAACTGTGAGTGAAGGATGATTTTCTACCATCTGATATATTGTCTTATAGCTATCTTGTTCATTATAGATGTCTTTTGAGGTCTTTTATTTTGTTTGAGTCCTAGCTATTAGTTTTTTGAAGTCACTATTTTAAGGGATATATGAAATTAATTTTGGACTCATGTTACTTTATTTTAATTGATTACAAAATGAAGTTTGGTCCAAATACAAAAAAAAGATGTTATCTTTCCAACAAAAATTTTATTTTTGTATTTATTTTAAATTTTTACTAGTGTATATATTTAAAATGGGTTTCATTATGATAGTTTTATGAGCACATAAAGTCGTTTTTCTAAATGCCCTTGGACCCATTATACTTTATTTCCTCTAAAAATTTAAATGATTCTAATGGCTTCCACTATTTTATTTTCATTCATGAATATGATATCCCCAATGTTTGATAGAATATATGTAAACCATTTTAAAGCAAAAATAAACATCTGTGAAAAACATATGGCAATTGATTCCTATTACCACACACACACACACACACACACACACACACACACACTCACACATAAACACAGATGCTTGTACACACGCACACACACAGAAGATAGGTAAACATGACTCAAAGGCCAAATCCAGTCTACTTCTTATGAATAAATTATTATTGTAACAAAAACAAAAATCTGTCAAATGGCTACATTTGCCTTGTTCCTTTCTTATCTCTGATCTTCTACTTATTTTTCCATGAAATTTTACTTTATATTCCATTTATTTTCTCCTTGGCTCCCATCCATCCAATCTTACTTCAACAAATCAATCCATCCTCTGTGTACACTCTTTTCATTTCTTCATTTAAGGAAAAAAGTGTTGTGTAAGAATACTGAAATCCTAACAGAAAAAATATCAAATACTACAAAATACTATGTAAAATCATTGAATTCACATACTCTCCTAATATTTTCACATGACCCAAAGAAGATTCTGCATTTTACTCAATAATATAAACACAACTCTATTAATGAACTTCCTAAAAAATGAAAGAAGGTAGTCAAAAACTCAGTAGAAACTGATGAGTATTTTGATTATACCTTGATTGCCCTACTGAGGACCATTAAATTTTCATTTTTTAAACATCATGCTCTTAACAAGAGAACAAGCACACAATATTCTTTTGACAAAATATTGTTATGTTTTCAACTAGAAATTTAATTTATAGAAAGCTATTATAAGTTACATAACCATGTATTTATTACTAATATAAATATGAGAAGAGATTTGAAGTGAGCCAGGGAGCAAAGTGTACGAGAGGCTTATTTCCAGTAAGAGGACAGTTAGAATGCAACTGCAGTTCAAGTGGTAAAGAAGCATTGAGGGAAGAGGTGAAGCACAGTATAGGTCCTGTTACAAGTGTGCATAAATGAATTGAATTATTATCAGAAGAAACAAGAAAAGAACTCTTAAACAGACAAGAAATGAGTGCAACTCTGTCTATATCTCTTAAAATGTAATTATGTAAACATAGTATAGGACCCACTAAATCAACCTATTTAAAAAAATAAGTAAAGCTTGCCTTATCAATATTTTGAAAAGTGGGAAAAATTTCTTGTTTTAACATATTGTAAGAAGTAATGATATTACAAGAAATAACCTTATATATATAATATTCAAAATTCTTTGTGTCAAATTAATGAAGAGATATTATCATCCATGAAATGAATAGTATATCCAGGCAAGGAAGGTCTTACCATTGTGCATAAGACTTTAAACTTAGGAGAAAATTGAAAAAAACTTTTTCATTGTAAACTTAAATCAAAGTGCATTTTTGTAACATATACAAGTCATTCCCAAGTTATATGAGGGAAGCAGTGTGAGAGAGAAAAGAAAGACAAGAAAGAGAGATCAGGACAGAGAGAAAGAGACTCGAAAGAGACTCAGGATAATTTCAAAAGGTCAACATGTGAGTAGAAATATACAAATATTGAACAAAACAAAATCTAAAGACATTAAAATGTAAATTTGTGAAGAGGAAAATAGTAATGAGCTGCATTTGAGGACTCTGCAACATGGTGGTGGGAAGACAGGAAGTTAATAAACATAATGATGTAGAGGAGTTATTGAGAAAGACAAATATAATCTTACCAGACTAGCAGAAAAGCTATCTACATGTGATCATATAAGAAGATGCTAAGTGAAATAATCCCCAAGATAAGGACACAAGGGTTTTTAAAAAATCTTTTTCATTGGAATTTATAAAATACTCCGTGATTTTTTTTGTTTCTTTTGTATGTTCTTTCCCCAAGGTATAACGCGTTTTCAGTGTAATTGATTGGGGTTCACTGCATCTTGCATACATATTTTTCTAACTTGGGGAAGGGAAAGGAAACAATAAAATGCTGAAACAAGGACACAAGTTGACCCATTGTAACAATGAAATGTACAAGACACTATGTTGAAAATGAACTTTACAACATGGAGTGGGAGGGCAGGAAAGAAAGAGGTAGGGACATGGGGCTGAAGGGATGGTAGGGGAAAACAAAGGAGGTGTTAAAGATGCTCAATAGGAAATGTACTCATTATATTACTCATGAAATTATAAACACTCTCTACAGAACCATTACAATTAAAATATACATATATAATATACAATAGAGAAAAGACTTTAGGAAGAGGGGATAATTTAATTAAGTGCAGATTAAATAGATAGAACCAAGGTATAGAAGCAAAACTCCAGTATAAATTGTGATAACCATCACTTGTGAATACCATTGACAGGAAATATACAGTACAGTCTTACTCTTGAAGTAAAAATTCTATAATATAAACTATGACAAGAAGAGATAATTACCATACTAGAGATTTAGATCACACCTTCTGTGTACTAATCAAACCTACGTACTTAATACTAAGTATGCTTATTTCTCCTACTATGTCTTTTATCCCGGAAGCCATGCAGAGAATTTCTATTTGGCATTAATAAAAGGATATAACACTTTGGGGCAAAAATGCAACCTAGGCGCCCTGCACCAGAGGCCAAGATGGAGAAGACCTCCACAGCCACCATGACATTCCCCTTGGTACTGTGGTAGACAGGTAGAAAGGTGAGCCACACACTGCAGAACACCAGCATGCTGAAGGTCAGGAACTTGGCTTCATTGAAGGTGTCAGGCAGGTTCCTGGCCAGAAAAGCCACACTGAAGCTGGACAGGGCCAGAAAGCCAAGGTATCCCAGGACACAGTAGAAGGAAGTGAGGGAGCCTTTGTTGCACAGGATGATGATATGGCCATGTTCAGAGTGTGCATCTGTGTCCACAAAGGGAGGAGAGGTTGCCAGCCAGAGTCCACAGAAGGTCACCTGGATGAGGGTGCAGATGGGGATGATGAAGTTAGGAGCCCCTGATACCAGCAGCCACCTCATCCTTCTTCCTGGGGAAGTGGCCTTGAAGGCCAGAACCACAGTCACTGTTTTGGCCAACACTGTGGAAACAGCCACAGTGAACACAACCCCAAATGTGATCTGCTGCAGGATGCAGGTGGCTGTTTTGGGTCGACCAAGAAAGAGCAAAGAACAGAGGAAACAGAAGATGAGGGAGATGAGCAAGATGTAACTGAGAGCCCGGTTATTTGCCTTAACAATGGCAGTGTCTTGGTGTTTCACAAACATCCAAAGAACAGCAGCAGTTAGCAAAGAGAAGCAGAGAGCCATGCAGGCCAGAACCATGCCCAAGGGATCTCCAAAAGCCAGGAAACTTGCAACTCTCAAGGGGCACTCTGTCCTGTGTGTGTTGGCATACTGATGATCTGGACATTTCACACATTGCTCCATATCTGGTGAGAAATGTGCACAACCATTAGTTTTTTTTATTAACCAAGTTTGTTTCAAAGAATTTAGGAAATTTTTCTTTTAGGAGAAATTCTCAAATGTCATCATTTACTATCCTAAAAATGTTTTTATATTTTTCACAAAACATAACCACTTCCCATTTTTCCTTCTTCTTTATTCAGGCATTTTTATTCAATAGTTTTTTATCTATGACTATCACAAATATTGATAAAGTAATAGGTGGGTTATTGTAATATCTTATAAAAATTGTTTATGCTTTCTGTGATGCTAATTGTGTCGTGCAATTATATTAAAAGTTTAAATATACATTGCCCTATATGTTTCTGTAAGACATTAATTTTTACCCTTTAATATATTATCCTTGATTTCCTCTCATTATGCTTGTCTTGAATATTCACTTGTGAAGTTGTAGGAACCAATTCATCACTCTTTGACCCTCTATGTCATTCCTATTTCTTAAACTATTTCTAGTTGTAGGAACAAACTCATCACTCTTTGACCCTCTATAGTTATTCCTATTTCTGATTCTAGCTTGCTGAGTCCTTACCTGTGGCAAGAAGAGTTCTCAGCACTGACAAATAAAGATAAACAAGATCCAAGTTTTCTGTGGGAGTAAAATGTAAGTTTTAAGATGAATACTCTCCTTATTCCACTTATGTTTAATTATATAGTAGAGTTTAGACTTCTCCTAATGATTAGTGATAAGAAGGATTCCTGGAGTAACTTTCCCTGCAATATACTGGAATATCTTTCTAAATACGTAATGCAAAACCATGTTCTGTCACATTGCCATTAGCGATACTACCACTTCTCAGAATTTAGTTATTAACACAGAGAAGGAGAATGAGCTATGTGATCCTAATATACAGTTTTTGCATTGACATGTTTTGATTGAGGATAACTAGGGAGAGATAAAGGATTTCTTTATAAGAATAACTCACCTGTCCCATTGGCAATCTCATTTTCTGAACAAGGTGTACAATCAAAGCAGCAGGCAGCCTTTCCCTCCTGAGGAGATTTTCGGAATCCAGGACCACAACTCTCACTGCAGACAGAGTGAGGGGTCTGAGGAAAGGCAAGGTGTGTCAGTAACTCTTACGACACATACCAAACACTACAACAATCCATAATTTTATAATGGAATATCTAAGTATAATGTTTAAACAGGTAAGTGCAGTTGATTTATTGAACTCTGTTATAGATGCTATACTCCATGATTCGCAAAGGCTATGTGTTTCAATCTTGACTTCTAGCCTGTTGAATTACTGTAAGTTATGAGATTTTTAAAAGGTGGAAAGTAGTGGTGAGAAAGTAATTTGTAGTGTACAGCCCTATGGGATTTCCTTGAATTCCTGGCACAATATGCTTTCTCCTACTCACCTGTGACCTTAGAAAAAGCAAGGAGAAGACCTCCACTTTATAGCATTATGTGAGCTCTAAGGTCATAATAGTTTTTCTTTGTTTTCTAGTGTTCATGAGGTGAAACTCTTCTCACAGTTGCCTTTAATGATTCCTCTAACCAAAGATAGTTAAGTAGCAGGCCAACTAACATTGGAAGAATCTCCACAGAAGGGAGCAAAAGAAACTTTTCAGTCCCATAAATTAATTCCAGAGTTACTTTATTGCAGTGTTAGATTCCCACTGAGAAAAATATATTTTACATCTTATGAAAATATTCCAAATCAACATGTAGAAACCCTTTGAGCTCTTTTGGTTCTGATCCTGGGGCTTGAAATCAAGGCTTGAGCACTGGACTTCAGCTATTTTGTCTCAAGGATAGCACTCCACTACTGTAATCCCAGCTCTACCTCCAAATTTTTGGAAGTTCATTGGCAATATGAATCTCACAAAGTTTCCTCTGAGCTGACTTTAATCTATGATCTTCCAATCTCAAGGTATTAAATTCTAGAATTATAGGAGAACCTAGTTGGTACTCAACCAGGTACAAACTTAAAGGGTGACTTTTGCTGATTTTTGTGTGCAAAATTATTAGGATCAGATCCAACTCACCTCTGTAGTTTCAATGGACCACTCTAACATATCTTCAGATAAAGAGAGTTGATTGCCATGTGGAGCAAACTTTCCTACTTTCACCTCAAGTTCAAGACCCTCTGGAAAATTCCAAATATTCAGAATGTCATACACTGGCTCCAATTTCCTTTGCTTGTCCCAAATTACTTGATTTCCAATAGGACTGTAAAACTGGTTGTTCTTCAGAAAAGTGTGCAGCTAAAAGGAGACATATCTTATGGTCATGTGTGTTCCAGAGTTAAGGAAGAAAGCAAAATATTAAAAGCTCCTGATTGCCTTTAATCTTTGATTCTGAATTCAAGAATAATAGAGGCAACTAGGGAAGTATCGCAGAAGAAAATCTATGCAGGAATCAAAATAGTCTTTGTGAAAAAATAATCTTTCCTGATCATGCAGAAAAAGAGGAGGATTTTCAGAAAAATCCACAACCACTCCTTTGTGTATTTCTATAGTTTGTGCTTGCTAAATATTTAATACCCAAAGTTGAATGAAACCCAATCACTCATGAAAAACGTGGATAATTGTTTTCAGCAAGTTATCCTCTGCTATGACTGAAGAAACTCATAGGGAAAGCTGAATTCACAGATTTTAAAACACGAGCTATGAACATGTTGATATTATTAGTAACTACTGAGTTCATAAACAGGGTGCTGGTGGCTCAAGAATGTAATACCAGATGATCAGGAGGCTCAGATCAGAGGATCATGCTTTGAAGCAGGCTGGGGCAGAAAGTTCAGTGAAACAGTTGTCTCCAATAAACTTCTCAGAAAAATTCGGAAGTTTGCTGTCCTGAAGTGTTTCTGTCCTAGCCTTGAAGACAGGCACAGGGATATACCTAGGAAACATGTTCCATCCCCTGTACTGGCCAAAATTAATTTTTAGAAGGATGGAATATATTTTATCCTTGTTACTGGCCTGTTGTTTTCTTCAGAGCATATCCCCACATGTCTAGAATACATCAAAGATATTGAAACATAAAGAATTCATGAGGTTTGAAAAAACAACTGAAATATTTAATGTTGTAAATGTCATTATACAGTTGTTCAAATTTGCACTTCCAATAGATTCTCATAATAGAAAGGAAAAATCTTAAGAGTTGAAACAATTACTTCAAATACTGAAACATATAACCATTTATATTAGCAATCAAGTTATATATGACATAGGGATATAAATATATATATGGTGTGTGTATATGTGTGTATATATATATGGTGTGTATATATACACACACCATATATATAAACAAAGACCCACATGTACACATACAGAAATATTTAATTTCATACAGTAAGAAATACCTCTAGCAAGTGCCTTTGCTAATGTTTTGTGTAGTGTAACATAGAAGAACTTACCTGAGTAGAGGAAGGCAGTTCTTTTCTATTTCCCATTGTTTGAACTTCTGTTTGTTGAAGAAGTATCTCATGGAGAGCCTGGGCCACAGCATACACAGCATTGTATATATTGTAACTGTCTACAGACATGGTCATGTCAAAAATATGCCCAGGTAACCAATTCAAAGAGGCATCATGAGCACACTTGTCCCATATTACACAGTCAGACACAGAAACAGAGCAATTAAAAGAGAGAAACCATAGCCTCGCAAGAAAAATGTCTTCTGGGTATTTAGAAGGCTTAGCTGCCTTGACAAAATCTTTGAATCCAGAAACATCTACATGATGGTGTGTAAAAATAAGAGGTACATGCAATGATCCTAACATGAAATATCTCCTTTTCAGGGTGAAATCCCACTGAGAGTTCATGATACAAACTTTCCCATGTATAATAATTTGTTCAATAAATACCATAAAAATCATCAGTGAATTATTATCACCATATATAATGAGGACACTTGCTGAAGACAGATTAATAAAATGATTAACTTCTATGTGGTTATATACATCTTGGGTGGAGATCACTAGCTCATAGGCTACACAAACTCTGTTCTTGGCCATCTCTACTTTCAATTCAGCAAGAATCCTTGCCCCATTATCATCTTGTGTGGTCAATAGTCCCACCCAGCTCCAGCTGAAGTGAAGCAGTAAGGAGACCATAGCAGTGGCTATTGATGAGTCTTTTGGGGCCATCTGATAGAGAGCAGGAAACTTATTATGGTCACTCAGGGCATGATCAAAAGGCCCAAAGGTAAACTAAAGGGAACGAAAATTGTATGTTCTATGAATGAGAAGATTGCCATGCATCAAAATCTCAGTCTTGAAGTCTGTTAAGAATTAATTGAAGTAGATGGAAGGTAGGTTTTGTTTAGTTTTTGAAAAAATAATTTTTTGAATAATTGTATATTTGTAAAATGTTTTTTGTTTTTGTCACTATTTCCTATCAACACTTCCCATTTGTAACCCTGCATACTCCCCAACTTTCTTAATTCCATTTTGACACATGCCCATTGAATATTATGTTGTATTCCTCCACCCATCCTTTTCCTATTCTTCTGTATTTTTCCCTTAAAACATATCCCACTCAGATAAGATATGCTTCACCTTTTTTGGTGTTCATTTTTTACACTGTCAGTACATCAGAAAATTTACACCATGGAGTTCAACCTCTACATATATCTTAAGTTAGTATGATTGATTAAATATTTACATATATATATATATTATACGTTTGTGTGCAGTGGCTATGTGACTATTCCACATTTATTTCATATAACATATACATATTTTGATGTAACTCTCACATTTGTGATGATATGGCTATACTTTCTCATTCTGAGCCTGATTTATTTCATTTTAAATATTTTCTCTGTGTGTGTATGTGTGTGTGTGTATATATGTATATGTGTGTTTACATATGAATGCCAGAACAGGGGCCCACACACATACACTCTTGCACTTCCTTGGCCATTTTCAAGACTGGTTCTATACCAATGTAGTCACACATTCACCTTCTGGTCCTTGAAGGTTAATTGGAGACACATGTTATCTGATTAGCTAGGATTACTTTTGTGTGCCACCAGTAACCTGTTCAACATAACTTCACACAGCAAAGTCCTCTTCCATTTCCTGATTTATTAAATAAAATTATTCATAAAGATTGAAACAATAAATTATACAATTATTTGCTCAAATCTTTCACCTCTTTTTAAAAATATTTAAAATTATATTTCTGTATTGCCCAGTGAAGATGGCGGAGAAGCTGGAGGCTAAACAAGCTCTCACATAGAAAGCAGGTTTAGTGTTCCAGTGAACAATCCTAGGCCAGAAAATTTCACCAAGTGTGCCATCACAGTACAGAGAGTTTGGCCAGAGAAGGAAAATCCAGGCAAGAAGACAGATCTGAACATTTACCAGCAGCCGTGGCTGCAGCTGTGGTGGTGGTGGCAGTGGCAGTGACCATAGACGCCATACCTACAACACAGAGAGTCTGGAACAAAGATGCCAGATACAGCAAGCAAGCAGATTCTACTCAACACCAGCAGGAACTGACAAGGAGCAGATGTCTTCATCCTGCAGATAACAGACCAGAGATGACCCTGGAACCAAGACTCCGGCATGAGTAGAACCCTGACATCATCACACCTTCTCATAGAGCAGAGGATGGAAGCCACCACTCCTTCCCCCACTACCGAGGGTCTCCTTCTTTGATAATGACAAAGGTCTGGCTGAGCAGCTAGCTCCAACTCAGGCCTTGGAAGAAAACAAGAGTCATTTAGCAGGTCACAGGAAACTAACCTGAACTGCCAGGCTCAGCTCAATCCAGGGAAAAGTTACCCAGCCCAGGCAGAGAAAGCTCTGCCCGGGAGGAGTGGCTTTCTTCACTGGGTAAACAGAGCCAGAGGCTGCCCCTCCCTACAGCAGCCTAGACAATCAATTAACATTCAGTAAACATAAACCCTGAGACTGGATCCAATCTGAGCTCTGTGAGTGTCTCTGGAGCTAGCCCCTCAGGAAAAAGCTACAGTTTGCAGAATGGCTTCAAATCTACCCAGAACCTAGCCTCATCACAGCATCTCCAAACTAGAGGAAACAGCCATCTCCCTCTTTTGTGATACTCAAAGCAGATCTCCCTCCCACTGAACTAGCCTCGGAGGAGGATCACAAAATTCTGGGTAAAGCAGAGCATTTTTCTGCCTGCCCAAACAAACTGACTTAAAAACCAATCAAGCCACAGGAAAGCCAAACACCACAAGCAGACCAGAGACTCCACCAAGAGACTGGTTACAGACACAAGGGAGATACAGGATCTATCCTGCGCCCCCCCCCAAATATCAAAGAACTCCTTTTTTGTACCTTTTTATTTTTTTTAAATTTTTTTAATTTTTAATTTGAAAAACATTGTTTTCTATTATTATTTTTTCTTCATATAACTTTATTTTAGCTGTATATGTGTATGTGCTTTTCTTTTATCTCAATTGATATTTTTATGCTTATTTCTTTCTTTCTCATTCTCTTCACTTTTTCTTCTTTTTTTCTTTTTTGGGCGACTTAATTCCTGTTCCGTTCATCCTCAGATATATACCCATCAATTTGGGAGACTTAATTCCTGTTCCATTCATCCTCAGATATATACTCATAGTCGATAATTAGACCTTATCCCCCATTGTGGACAAACTTAATCCAGAAATTTATACTCAATTCAAAACCTCTTAGACTTAAATTCCTTAATATCAGTATTAAATCTTTATACCCATATAATATTTTAAATATTTTTATTTTTTAGTTTTTCATGTCTCCTTTCTATCCCTCCCCTCCTCTCCATGGCTGTTCTTCCCTCAATATTATTTCTTTAAATTTTTAAGTGTTTCACTTTTTAATTTTAAATTTTTGTTTTTCCTTTTTTCTTTTCTCTTTTTTTCTTTTTCTTATTTTTTTCTCTCTCTGTTATCATTCTCCCAATCCATTTACCTCTTTGAGATTAGGACTTGGTTAATTTTACTTTCCCTTTACATTTCCACATCCTTCTAATTCTATTTTCCCCCACACTTCTCCATAAACCTAATAATTTCCGGTTTACCAAATTCTTCTTTGCTGTTCTTAGGCAATTAAGACATAGATGTTATTCTTGAATAGATTGTATCTATTGATCTAGACTGTATCTGCAGACTTTTGACTGTGCAACTACAGGACTTTGGTTGATGCTTGCCTTAAAATAGTGTTCTAGCACAAAACGGATATTACTTTCATCCCAAATGGGTAGAACAAGCCAGAAAAACACAAGAAAAATGTCAAATTCGGGTATCTTAACTATCACTCATGATAATCAGTGGACAGAACAGATCATGAATAATCTAGAGGAGAGTGCACCAAAAGTTATACAAACACTACAGATAAAAATGATAAATGAAAAGAGTCAAAACCTGCAAAGGACTCAGTGTGAGCATGATAGGGAGAGAGAGGAGGCAAACCAAAGATGAATGCAGGAATCTCATGAGCCTGAGGAAGCTACTCAAAGACTGATACAGGAATTGCATGAGCAGATTAAGAACCCTCAAAGAGATATAAAGGCATTTCTAAAGCAGGCTGAGATCAGTCAAAGGGATAGACAGGAATTGCATGAGCAGGTTGAGAACAAAGACAAAGTTAGGAATAGCTTGAGCAGACTGAGAACACGCATTGAGATCTACTGGAATTGTGTAAACATGAGGAAGCTAATCAAAGAGTAAGACAGGAATTGAGAGAGTAGGATGATAATACACAAAGATCAATAGAAGCATTCATGGAATCCATAAACAGAGAGATGAAAGAAGTCAGGAAGACCACAAAGGGAATGCTCAATGGAGCCTGACAGAAGGACTGGGAGTCCAAAGAAACCATGACCAATCAACTAAGTGATTTGAGAATAAACACTGAACACCAAATTAAGGAAGTAAAGAAGTTCATCAAGATCTAAATCAAATCTCCAACAAAGAATTTGAAGCCATCAAAGCTGACTAATTAGAAGGAAAAAAGGAAAAAATAAAGTAGAAAGTCTTGACAGTAGGTTAGACCATGCAGAAGATCGAGTCTCGGGGATTTAAGACAGCCTAGATATTATAGAGAAAGAACATACAATCATCCAAGACTAATCCAAGAAATATTATAGATCTCTTCATCATTTGGAAGACACCATCAGAATGCCTAATCTGAGGATACTGGATGTAGAGGAGCACTTAGAGACACAAGTTAATGGTCTAGGAAATTTGTTTAACAGGGTGCTAACGGAAAACTTCCCAAACATGCAAAAAGATAGTCCTATTCAGATACAAGAAGCTTTCAAAACCCCAGATAGACAAAACCAGAACAGGACATCCCACCATCACATTATAATCCACACAGGATCAAGTCAGACCAAGGAAAAGATCCTTAAAGCTGTCAAGGAGAAAAGATCAATCACCTATAAAGGGAAACCAATTAGAATCACCTCAGATTTCTCAACAGAGACAATTAAAGCAAGAAGAGCCTGGAATGATGTATGCCGTGCCCTAAAGACAAACAACTATCAACCAAGAATACTGTACCCAGCTAAACTCTCCTTCATAACTGAAGGTCAAATAAAAGCCTTCCATAGAAAAGAAAAACGGGCCGGGTGCTGGTGGCTCACGCCTGTAATCCTAGCTACTCAGGAGGCTGAGATCTGAGGATCGCAGTTCAAAGCCAGCCCGGGCAGGAGAGACTGTGAGACTCCTATCTCCAATAAACCACCAGAAAATGGGAAGTGGCGCTGTAGCTCAAGTGGTAGAGCGCTCGCCTTGAGCTGAAGAGCTGAAGGACAGTCCCCAGGCCCAGAGTTCAAGCCCCACGACCGACAAAAAAAAAGAAAAAATTAAAAAAAGAAAAGAAAAACGGAAATAATATATCTCCACCAAGCCAGCCTTACAAAAGTTTCTTAAAGATGTCCTACACATAGAAAAGCAATAAGACCACAATGAGGGCCAGGAAACCACACCCAAACTGAGAATCCAAGAACCATAGGAAGAACCCCGTTTTTGCAGCCCCACGAAGGTGGATAACATGGCAGGAACTCCCAAATACCTCTCAGTCCTATCTCTCTACATTAACGGACTTAACTCTCCAATTAAGTGACATTGACTGTCTAGTTGGATTAAAAAGCAAGATCCTTCTATCTGCTGCCTTCCAGAGACACATCCTGCCCGTAAAAACAAACACATTTTCAATGTGAAAGGCTGGAGCAAAATTTACCACACAAATGGCACCCATAAACAGGCAGGAGTTGCAATCCTAATATCAGATAAAAATAGAATTCAAATCAAAATTATTGAGAAGAGATAAATAAGGTCACTACATACTAATTAAGTGATCTATCCTTCAGGAGGATATGACAATTCTAAATCTCTATTTGCCAAACAATGGAGCACCCAAATTTTTCCAAGCAACACTACTTTCTCTTAAATCTCACGTAGATACAAAGACAGTAATTGTTGGGGATGTTAACACACCACTTTTCCCACTAGATAGATCAAGTCGGCAAAAACTCAAAAGAGAAAACTCAGATCTAAGCAACCGCATGGATCAACTAGATTTAACAGACATCTACTGATTATTTCAACCAGAAGCATCAGAATACACAATTTTCTCAGCAGCACATGGAACATTTTCCAAAATAGACCACATTTTAGGTAACACAACAAACCTGTCCAAATTAAGAAACATTGAAGTTATACCTTGCATTCTCTCAGACCACAAGAGAATAAAATTAGAATCCAACACCAAAAGTTACCAAAAATTCCTGTAACATATGGAGGCTGCACAACACACTGTTGAACCACCAGTGGGTCATGGAAGAGATTAGAAAGGAAATTCAAATGTTCATGATATTCAACAAAAATGAACACACAAATTATCAACTCTTCTGGGACACAGCAAAGGCAGTACTCAGAGGCAAGTTTATACCTCTGAGTTCCTACATAAACAAATTGGAGAGATCTGAAACCAACAATTTAATGAGATATCTCAGCATCCTTATAAAAGAGCAGCAAGATAAACCCCAATCTAGTAGACGGAAAGAAATAATTAGAATTAAATCAGAATTACTGAATTAGAATCCAAAAAAATCATAGAAAGAATCAACAAAACAAAGAGTTGATTCTTTGAAACGATTAAAAAAATTGACAGACCCTTACAAATCTTATCAGAAAATGAAGAGAACACACCCAAATAAATAAACTCAGCGATGAGAATGGAAACATCAACACAGAAACAACCAAGATTCAGAACATTATAAGGGACTTTATGCTAATAAGTTTGAGAACTTGGCAGAATGAACCTTTTCCAAGCAAATATTGACATGCCGAAACTAAACCAAGATGAGTTAAACTATCTTAACAGGCTCATATCAAGCATTGAAATAGAAACAGCAATAAGAGACCTCCCATCTAAGAAAAGCCCAGGACCAGATAGTTTTATAGCAGAATTCTACAAGGCCTTCAAAGCAGAGCTCAGACCAATACTCCAACTCTTCAATGAAGTTGAAAAAGAATGTTCACTACCGAACTCATTCTATGAAGGCATAATAACACTTATCAAAAAACAAGGCAGGGATTATTAAAGAAAGAGAACTATATACCCATTTCTTTGATGAACACTGATGCAAAATTTCTCAACAAAACTTTGGCCAATCGACTTCAACAATTCATCCAAAAAATCATACACCATGATCAAACAGGATTCATTTCAGGGATGTAAAGCTGGTTCAATATTCGCAAATCAATTAAAATAATTCATCACATCAACAAGAGCAAAGATAAGAACCACATGGTTATCTCAATAGATTCAGAAAAAGTATTTGACAAGATCAAACACCGCTTTATGATGAAGGCTATGGAAAAATTAGGAATCCATGGAACAATCCCCAATACAATAAAGGCTGTATATGACAAACCTATAGCCAGCATTATACTCAGTGGTGAAAAACTAAAGTCATTTCCACTGAACTCAGGAATGAGACAAGGATGTGCACTCTCTCCACTGCTTTTCGATCTAGTATTAGAGTGTCTAACTACAGCAATAAGACAAGATGCAAAAATAATGAGGATCCAAATAAGGAAAGAAGACATAAACTCTCGCTCTTTGCAGATGACATGATCTTGTATTTAAAGAATCCCATGGACTCCATTCCCAAATTACTCAAGCTGATTCAAAACTTTGGCAAAGTAGCAGGGTACAAAATTAAACCTCAAAAATCAATAGATTTTCTGTATGCCAACAATGAGAAAAGTGTGGCTGAGATTAGGAAAGCAACTCCATTAGTAATAGCCCCACAAAAAATAAAATACCTAGGAATTAACTTAACCAAAGTAGTGAAGGACCTCTATGACGAAAACTTTAAAAATCTGAAAAGGGAAATCAAAAGAGAACTTAGAAAGTGGCAAAAACTCCCATGCTACTGGATTGAAAAGATCAACATCAGGAAAATGGCAATACTTCCAAACGCTATCTACAAATTCAATGCGATACCTATCAAAATTCCAACCTCATTCTTCAAGGAATAGAAGAGGCAATCCAAAAATTCATATGGAATTTTCTTAATAGAGACACAGAAACACAACAAATCAACGAAACGTTGGACAAATGGAATTGCATGAAATTGCAGAGCTTCTCCATGACAAAGGACATAGCTAGCAAGATCAATAGAAAGCAAACAGATTGGGAGAAGATCTTCACTAACCATACAATGGACAAGGGACTCATATCTTCAAAGAAACAACTGACCAATAAATAAGTGGGCTAAAGACTTAAAGAGAAACTGCTCTGAAAAAGAAAGAAGGATGGCCAATAGACACATGAAGAAATGCTCAACAACCCTAGCCATAAAAGAAATGCAATTCAAAACAACATTGAGATACTACCTCACCCCATTTAGAATGGCTATAACAAAGAACTCTAATAACAACAAATGCTGGAGGGGATGTGGACAGAAGGGAACCTTACTGCATTGTTGATGGGAGTGTAAACTTGTTCAACCACTTTGGAAAGCAATATGGAGGTTCCTCAAAAGACTCCACATAGAGCTCCCCTATGACCCAACAATCCCACTTTTGGGCATTTACCCAAATGATCACAAGCAAGACCACACTAAAACTACCAGCACAATTATATTTATGGCAGCATTATTTATCACAGCTAAGATTGAACCAATCCAGATCCTCCTCAGTAGGTGAATGGATCAAGAAAATGTGTTTATATACACAATGGAATTCTTTGCCTCGATCACAAAAAATGACATTGCCCCATTTGTTAGGAAATGGAAAGACTTGGAAAAAATTTTATTAAGTGAAGTAAACCAGGACCCAAGAAACATAGGTCCAATAGTTTGCCTTATTTGTCATAACCAGTGTATGTCTGAGGCAAGCAGAAAATGTCAGATAAGTTGATGTTAGAAAAATGAACCCCAAGATAAGTATTCAATTTTTTTTTCTTTCATGCAATTGTTTCTAACATATTTATAAGATGATTTCTTTGTTGCTTTGTATGTCCCTCCCCCATGGTATAACCCCTGCTTTCACTGTATTTGATGTTGTTATAATGTGTGGAGGGGAAGGGAAAAAACAAATTGTTTAAATAGAGATATAGGTGGACCCATTGCAACAATGAGATATTCAAGTCTTTATGTCGAAAAACTAACTTTACAAATTTGGCGGTGGGAGGAATGGGTAAGGGGAGGCAGGGGGTGTATGAGAATGGATAGAAAGGAGAAACAAAAGAGGAGGCAACAATGCTTGATAAGAAATATACTCGTTATCTTGCCCATGTAATTGTAACCCTTCTGTATGGTATTTTCACGATAATAAACTGTATTTCTGATTACCATTAAGTAATTACAATTTGATATCACAAAATTTTATTTATTTGTGAATTCAGTCTCTTCCTCTCATTCTCTTCTAACACCTGAAATGACATGAATTCAGACATTTTTATATCCTTGCACACCTTCTACCCTCACCTGTGGAAATCTGTAGAGTCCCAGCAATGTGCCAATCTGGTCAGATGTTATTCCTGAGGGTCCTGTAAGTACTGCTATAGAACTGCTTCCTCTCATGCAGGAATAGTTTGGAATCTTATACTTCCCAAAGAGACAAATGAAGGGATTCTTAAGCATTGTCCAAGCATTGAAGTGAACATCATAGACATCAAATCCCAGAGTCAGGTTATGTAAAAGATCAGGGCTTTTGTTGATCTCCTCAACAGCAAAAGCCAAGGCCAAAACATACTGATAGTTCTTGAAGATAAACCTGCATAGTGATCAAAGAAATTTTGAAGCAGTATTTCATTTCTTAAAACTTCAATATATTAAATGCTTGCTTCTTTATCTAGGAATAAGTTAAAATATTACCCAAAATAGAATGAAACATAAATGTAGTCTCTTATGCTTACATATAGAATTCATATCTAACGTATTTATAAGTTGAGTCCTTTGTTGCTTTGTATGTCCCTCCCCCACGGTATAAGCCCTCCTTTCACTGTATTTGATGCTGGCATAATTTGTGGAGGGGAAGGGAAAAAACAAATTGTTTAAATAGGGATACAGGTGGACTCATTGCAACAATGAGATGGACAAGCCGTTATGTCAAAAAACGAACTTTACAACTTAGGTGGGGGGGGAGGTTATTGGTAGTTGGGGGGGGTGGAGATGGGAAGGGATGGGAAGGGGAAAACAAAGAGGAGGCAACAATGCTTGATAAGAAATGTACTCATTATTTTGCCCGTGTAATTGTAAGTCCTCTATATGGTATTTTCACAATTAAGAAAAAAGGAAAGAAGTACTAAAGTAAGTTTTTCAGACAACAAAAGAGAAACATTAAAAAACAGGAATGATATACGTGAATGTATAAACTCCTTTCTGTCAACACAAAGTTGAGTAGAGCCAAATGAGTTACAGAAAATAAACTTATAGAAGCTAAGCAATTCATTGATGAGACTTCAGCAGTTATTTGAAGAGAGAGATAAGAAAAGAAATTTGATGTTTTCTGGGATACATTGTGAAAGAATACCTAAAATATCAACTTCTTTGGCACACAACCAAGGAAGATCTCAGAAGACAGTTCATGTCTGTAAACACATTCATCAACAAATTAGAAAAATCTCAAAGCAATACTTCAATTATGCACCTCAAAGCAGACATGACACTTCCAAGCAGATGGTGGCATAATCACATGTAAACTCCATAGATGTATCGAACAAAACAGCTATTTAGATTCCCTTTATCCACTTTACCTCATGAGAGCCAAAATGATCAAACATTAAAGAGGTAGGCACTCATTCAAGTACATAAGAAATCTCACAACAGAAACACAAGAGCAGAATACAAAAAGACAGCATGCAGACCACTGCTGAGTGGCTGCAAACATTGCTCCTAGCCTGCTCAGGCAGCCCAGGGAGACCCAGAAGGAAATGAAGTGCCACCCATCAAACTTAAACAGAGAGCCATGTAATACTGACAAAATCACACAGCAAAACAGTAACCCTAGAAACACAAGGATAGAAAGAAGGTCAGACTTGCAAATCAGCTTGCAGACTCTCATGGAGTTGCTGCTGCTACTGAGACACAACATAAAAGAAGAGAGAGACAGCACAGAACAACGGTAGGGGGAAACAGAAAGATTAGACTGATAATGCCACATCCAGACACAGAGGCCCCTCAATAAGACTCATGCTGCCCAGCTCAAAACTGGCTCCAGAATCTGTTTGTGCCTCCCCAGGAACTGCTTCCTTGGAGGAAGTGTTCTGGGTGGTCACCTAAATTGCTCATAAAAATGAATGCAATTGAAATGGCAACAAAGCCTCCAATTCAGGAAAAGCCCAGGACCAGATGTATTCATAGAAGGAGTCTTTAAGTCTTCAAATAGGAACTAACTCCCATTCTCCTCAAACTCTTCAATGAAACAGAAAGGTAAAGTTCACTACCAAAATTTTTCTATAAAACCAACACAACACTCATTCCCAAACCAGATAGGAACCCATCAATAAAAGAGAACTATAGACCCATTTCTCCGATAGACTTTGATGTAAAACATCTCAACAAAATTCGGGCCAACCAATTTCAATAAGTAATAAAAAAATCTCATATCTTATGTTCAAACTGATTCATTCCAGGATTGCTAACCTGGTTTCATATACATAAGTCAATTAATGCAATTCAACACAGCAACAGAAGTAAAGATGAGAAGCACATGATATTTTCAATATATTGAGAAAAATGATTTGAGAAGATTCAACACCACTTCATCAAAAAATGTCTAGAGAAGCTATGAATCCATGGAAATTTCCTCAACATAATAAAGGATATCTGTGTCAAACCACTAGCCAGCATTATACGTCAAAGGAAAATTTAAAGCCATCCCTCTAAATTCAGAACACAAGGATGCCTTCTCTCTCCATTCCTATTGAACATAATGCTGAGATATCTGGGAAGAGAAATAAGGCAAAAGAAACACATAAATGGGGTCCAAATAAGGAAGACAAAGTAAAGGAATCCCTCTTAATGAGCAAGACGATCCTGTACTTAAAGAATGATATAGAATTCCTCACCCCAAGCTACTTGAGTTGATTCAAACTGTGGCAAAGGAACAAGTTATAAAATATAAAAACAAAAATCCATAGCATTCATCTGTTCCAAAAATGAAAAGAATAATACTGAAATCAAGAAAGAAACACAATTTGTAATAGCCTCACAAAATACTTAGGAATTAACCAAAGATAGGAAGGATCTATATTGTGAAAAAAATTAAATTCTTATAAAGACATTGAAGATGACTTAAGGAAATGGAAAAACATTCCATGCTCCTGGTTTGGAAAAATTAACATCATAAAAATGGCAATTCTGCCCAGAGCAATATACAAATTCATTGCAATACCAATAAAAATATCTGTAACTTTCTTCTAAGAAATAGAGAAATCAATCAAAATATTCATATGGAGTAATAAAGATCGTGAAGAGCAAAAAAAAATTCCTTAGCAGGAGGAACAGAGCTGGAGGAATATCAATACCAAAGTTGAAGCATTATTACAAAGCCATAGTAATAAAAACATCTTGGTAATGGCAAACAATAGGCCTGAAACCCAATCAAACACAACAGAAGACACAGAAACAATCTCACAAGCATATAGCCACTTAATATTTGATAAGAGACCCAAAAAGACAGCTTTCAAGAAAGATAGCCTTTTACACACACAGTGCTGGCAAAATTGGCTATCTACATGCAGAAAACAGAGGCTTTATACACATATATCACATTGTACCAGAATCAACTCTAAATGGATCACATAGCTTAATGTAAGGCCAGACACTGTGAAAATATTACTGGAAGTGCTAGGGAAACACCTAAGCCTTCTAGCCACAGAGTAAAACATTCTAAACAAAGATATATAATCACAAAAAAATCAAAGAAAAACTGAATAAATAGGACTGTATTGAACTGAATAGATTCTGAGTAGCAAGGGACATCGCTAGGAAGTTATATGAACAGACCAAAGAATGGTAGAAAATCTTGACTAACTATACAACAGATATACAGAATTTTTTTGGTCGGTCGTGGGGCTTGAACTCTGGGCTTGGACGCTGTTCCTGCGCTCTTCAGCTCAAGGTGAGCACTCTACCACTTGAGCTTCAGCGCCACTGCTATACAACAGATAAAGAGGTCATATCTATCATATACCTAGAGGTAAAATTTAGCAAGACAGAAGGAAACTCCCAAACTCAACAACCCAATCAGTAAAAGGACCAAAGGACTTAGAGATACTTTTCAGGAAGAAAATAATGGTCAATAGATACATGAAGCAGTGTGTTCAACACCTCAGGAAACATTACATTTGTCTTTCATTTGTTTCTGCTGTTGTTTATTCCCAATGGTCACAGTTTTTTATTTCTATATCCTTTTTCTTCTATATAAGCTTATCTGATTTGTGAAGGGAAGGGGAATTAGAGAAACAGAGTGAATCATTGCAACAGTGATACTCACTAGACATTATGTTGGAAATAGAACTTTCAACTTGGGGAGGAGGGAAGTTGAGGGAGGGAAAGTGTGGAAACCAGGGAGAGGGTATCACTGTTTAAAAAGAAATGTACTCTTTACTTTACATATGTACCTATAACCCATCTTTGCATCATCTTTCCAATAAAATAAAATTTAAAAAGAAGAAATGAAATTCACAATAACATTAGGATTCTACCTAGTCTAGTTACAATGGTCATTATCAGGAAAACACACAATAACATAAGTTGGCTGGGATGTGGACCAAAGGGAACCCAATTACACTTTTTGTGGGAATGTTATTTGTTCAACCACTCTGGAAAGCAAAATGGACATTCCTTAAAAGCCTAACTATAGAACTTCCCTATTACCCACCATTTCCACTTGTTGGCATTTATCTGATGGATCACAAACCAGACCACACTAAAGCCCCCTCCCCTAAAGAAACATGTTAAGTCAACATTGTTTACCAAAGCCATGATATGGAACCATCCCTGATATCTCTCAGTGAATGAATAAACAAGAAAACATGGTATTTTTGTGTACACACACACACACACATACACAATGGTAATATGCTTATCTGTCAGAATGATACTTTAACTTGCTTAAGTAAATGAAAACATTGGAAAAATTATATTAAGCAAAGTAAGAAATATAGCTTGCATTGTTTCCCTAATTCATGGTAACTAGAATGTCCCTATAAATCTATAAGTAAACAAACTAAAATCAGGACATGATAATTTATATAGGACCCAAGACATTAATATATGGAGGCAAGGGAGGCTATGCATAAGAGTGGTGGAAAAAGGCTAAATGGGTATGTAAACATGACTATATAAAATAATATTCTATGAAATGAACTCCAAACAAAGGAAACAGAAGCTATTTTTTATTTTCAATTGTTGCTGTTTCATTCTCTTTACCTTTTGTTTGATAGTTAGTTTGTATTTTAGAGAGTAAGGGAGAATACATAAAATATTGCACAAATATGAACTAAAACAACAGTAATTTTCACTAGACACTGTAGAAAATGAACTGGATATGTGGTGGATGGGAATGATAGGAAAAGACAGGGAGAAACTGATGAAAGAACAGATATGATTCAAAAGGAATTGTACTCATTACTCATGTACCTGTAGCCCCTCTGCATATCAACTCTACAATAAAAATAATATATGACAAATACATTATAAAACCCATAAATAAAATAAACAGGCCCTTCACAAGCAATTAAAAGTGTGGGATGAGGTTAAGTTGGA